TAGAGGTGGTGGGGGAGGACACAGTGTGGATTTTAACGGTGATCTAATTTATAGAGACAGTGAATTAAACATCATAAAACATAAAACTGAGAATAAAGAAAAGACTACAATAATACAGTACAACACAGCACCATGGAGACCACGGAGTGTCTACAGCTCCCCCTCCACTGGAGACCTGCTGGTCGGGATGTGTAGATATGATACAGGGACAGGCCAGGTAGTGCAGTATATCTCAGGCAAGGTAGTGCGGTATAACTCCACAGGAGAAAACATCCAGACCATACAGCACAACAACATCACAGGTCAGGGACTGTATAGTAATCCTAGATACATCACAGAGAACCGTAATGGAGATGTTATTGTGTCTGACTCTTTCCGTCGTGCTGTAGTGGTGACAGATCGTGACGGTAATTACCGCTTCTCCTACACAGGTCCTCCATCAGGATCAGGACTATTCCCATGGAATCTGTACTGACGCGCTGTCACACATCCTGGTGTGTGATGTTATCACTTGGTCAGTACAGATGTTAGATAGTGAGGGTAACTATCTGACAGCGATAAAGACACGACAACACGGGATAGACGGACCATGCAGCCTGAGTTATGATGAGGACACACAACTACTGTGGGTAGGGTCATACAGACACAACACAGTCTACATATACAGAGTGGTAGATACAGACTCTCTGACTGGTAAGTAACATTGTAGTCTGTTTTATAGTATTGTATAATTATAATACCAATACTGAATAACTGCACTATAATAGAGAGGTCATATAAATGCATTCAAATGTTTATAAATATGTATAAAATGTAATAAATTTCTCACTGTACACTTGTAAACAACATGTGAAAGATGAAGTTTATGACTACAAATATGATAAATAGATAAAAATTAAAGCAATAGTAGATTTACATCCAGTATTAATTGTAAGATGTTGTGTTTAACTCTTCAATCACTGATTCATACATGTACATGGAAATCTATATTATGCTATACACTGATTCTTATTTCAAACTTTTTTGTAATTTTTTTTCTCAGAAACATCTTGCTGTACATTCATACATCTATATATTTGTTTGACAGACAGGCTTTGATTTATAGCTACATGTACATGTACTGTCATTGGGGTAATTTTCAACTTTTGAAATTTTGTGCTGTTTTGTTCGATAAGTTAATTTGGTGTAAAATGATCACTTTTGAGAAATAGCGGATTAAATTTTAAAATCTTTTTTTTTTTTACAAAGTCCTATATAATGTATTCAGTTTAAGTAAGTCTACATTTAGAACACATGACAATTTGTACTGATGTTGACAGTTTGATATAGACACCATTGACATTAACACAGCTCAGTCTAGGAATGTTGTGCATTTCTGTAGGAGGTGTTCAGGCAATCTACACAGTGTACTGGGGTGACATTTTGTGTAGGAGAAACTTCTAGATGAAATATGGAAAAATTGAACAGTATTCAAGCTGAAGTCCATAGTGAAGTTTGATTCATTTCAACTTTTTGAACAAAAAAAATTCTCTTTGACACCAAAGAATAAGCATGAATGCAACTGCATTGAATAATTTTAGTAACTAGCTAATGAAAGGGAGACAATCTAATTTTGAATTTGAAGGGAAAGAAGAAAATTAAGTTACCTCCCTTTTCATTATAAGTGTAAAAAGAATTTTTGCGAAAAACATAACTTAGCCTGTTGTTTTGTTTCAAATTATCTGGTCCATGCAATAAAAATTAAAATATAATTTTATTATAACTGCCTGTTAAGTGTAAGTGCATGATATGACGAAGAAGGAAATACTGAAATATTTATCATTAGATTTATTCTGTCCATTTTTAACCATTTATATCCCAATTAAATGAATTTAAAAAACTTGAAGCCCTTAATTAGCTGATAATACACTGAAAATGTTTCATTTGTACACTGTTACAAGCATTGAAGGTCACTGACAGAAATATGTAGGGTTGATTTCTGTGGTTTACACGGTCACTGAACTAAGTGTTGAGGCTTAGTGAAGGGGGGGGCGGTAATATATGGCTGTACTATTTCAAGTTATATCAATAATTTTACATTATAGCAAAGTTAGATGTCTGGTATGACTTATTTAAATCTATGAAAAATTGTTGGTTTGTTTTTATTTTTAATTTACATCCACCCATATAAATGTAGGTAAGTCACCGTGCTGTGTTTTTTAGGTCACCTGAGTAAACTCAGGTGATCTATTGCTATCTGTTTGTGTCCGTCGTCGTGCGTTGTCCGTCGTGCGTTAACATTTGAACATTTTCAGCTTCTTCTCTGCAACCACTAAACCAATTTCAACCAAATTTGGCACAAAGCATTTATGGGTAAAGGGGAACAAAAATTATGAATTTCATGATACCTGCCCCCCCTGGGGCCTGAGGGGTGGGGCCAAAACCACTAAAATTAATGCAATCTTTAAAAATCTTCTTCTTTACTCCTGGACATTAAGCAGTCAAACTGATTGCATGATTGTAATCAGCATTGAGTCCTCTACCAAAATTGTGAAATTCATGGCCCAAGGGTCAGGGTTCTAGTGCTAGGGTGGGGCTAAATAAGTATAAAGTGAAAATGCAATATTTCTTTCAAAATCTTCATCTCTGCTCCTGGGTATTAAATAAACTAACTAAGTGCATAGTTATGATGAGCAAGAGTGCCTCTACCAAAATTGTGAATTTTATGGCCCCAGGGTTAGGGGTTCTGGTGTTAGGGCGGGGCTCTATAGATTATATAGTGAAAATACATAAATTCTTTGAAAATCTTTTTCTCTGCTCCTCGGTATTAGATAGACTTACTAAGTACATAGTTATGATAAGCAAGAATGCTTCTTCCAAAATTGTGAATTTTTTGGCCCCAGGGTCAGGGGTTCTGGTGTTAGGGCGGGGTTCTATTGATTATGCAGTGAAAAATTACATTAAATCTTTGAAAAATTTTCTCTGTCTCTGGGTATGAAGCAGATGAATCACCTATATTGTAATGTTGAGCAAGGGCCCTAACCTTCCAAAATTATGAATTTCAAGGCTTTAGGGTCAGGGGTACCATAGAGGGGGGGGGGGCTGTACTTATGAACTGAAAATAAATAATTTTTTTGAAATCTGCTCCTGGGTATTTATCTAATATTTTTGAAAAGCAAGGATGCTTTTTCAAAAATTGTGCAGTGTGTGGATCTAGGCCTAAGGATCAGGGGTTCATGTGTGATAGGGGCACTATTAATTATTGCTGAATATTACTGATAAGTTGAAATGCATTTTTCGTTCCCCTACCTGCCTATGGGTATTAAGTACCTAAGCTAAGCTACTGATTAGTGTATTGTTATGATTATCAATGGTGCGTTTTTCAAAATTGTGAATGCCATAGAATCTGGCTTAAAACATGAATCAAATTCAATAACTGGAAAGTTGTTGCATAATGCTCAGGTGACCTATAAGGCCCATGGGCCTCTTGTTTTTAGCTCACCTGAGCCGAAGGCTCAAGTGAGCTTTTCTGATCACATTTTGTCCGTCTTCCGTCCGTCTGTCCGTCTGTCTGTCTGTCTGTCCGTCTGTAAACTTTTCACATTTTCGACTTCTTCTCAACAACCACTGGGTCAATTTTGACCAAACTTGGTACAAAGCATCCTTGGGTGAAGGGAAATACAAATTGTTAAAATGAAGGGACATATCCCCTCGCAAGGGGAGATAATCAAGAAAAGACAAAAATAGGGTGGGGTCATTAAAAAATCTTCTCAAGAACCACTGGGCCAGAAAAGCTGAAACTTATGTGAAAGCATCCTAGGGTAGTGTAGATATTAAATTGTTCAAATCATGACCCCCGGGGGAAGGGCGGTGCCACAATGGGGAATCAAAGTTTTACATAGAAATATATACTTATTAGGAAAAATCTTTGAAAATCTTCTTCTCAAGAACTACTGGGCCAGTAAAGCTGAAACTTATGTGAAAGCATCCTAGGGTAGTGTAGATATTAAGTTGTTCAAATCATGACCCCCGGGGGAAGGGCGGGGCCACAATGTGGAATCAAAGTTTTACATAGAAATATATAGGAAAAATCTTTAAAAATCTTCTTCTCAAGAATGACAAAGCCATAAGGCCATCCTTTAAAAAAAATGTTTGTTTGGAATTGCCGCCTGAAGGGTTTCAGACACAGGAGGGAGGGAGGGAAATAATTTTTTTAAATTGAAGATAAATTTTAATTTTTTTATAAAAATCTCAGTAAACAGTAAATACGTATACATTTTCTTACTTTTAAAAAAAGTATCTACCATCAACAATAAAACCTAATTTTACATAGGTCTGACATGTGATAAATATAATGGGCAAAAAAATTTATTGAATAAAAAAAAATCTTCCTACTTTTGGACAATAAATTTTTTTCAGGAGGGGGCATTTCAATGAGGCGGGAGGCAATTCCAAACAAACTATAATTTTATTTTGGCCTAATTCATCATATATATATGGAACATGCTCAGGTAGTGTAGATTCAAGTTTTTTCAAATCATGATCCCCGGGGGTAGGGCGGGGCCAAAATGGCCGACCAAGGTTTTACATAGAAATATATATGAAAATTCTTTAAAAATCTTCTTCTAAATCATTTTCTAAAAAATGGCAAATCCATGATTGGTCATGGGACTACTTTTGGATTTAAACTTTACAATAAAAAGCCATTTTATACTAGTCCTACCCTTGGTGCTCAGGTGAGCGATGTGGCCCATGGGCCTCTTGTTTATTTTGGGACAGGGTTTGTAAGAGTATGTCTTACTCAGTGAATTTTCAGTGGAGTTCTGTTAGAAAATCATTCTTGTCACAAGAACAGCATACCACAAGGGGGCATATTATAATCTGAACAAAGGTTATGTGAGGATGGTTAAGATCATCAGTACTTAGCTAAAACATTTTGATGCATAGTTTGTTGATTAAGAATGTTTTATGGAAAGAAAGTAATTCAACACTGATTGGTCAACTATGTGATAAATAAAAGG